TTCTGCTTGATCAATTCAGCTATTGATACTTGTGTATGCTTCACAAAGCTCTCTTGCTCTGCTTTTCAGCTAGATCAGGTCATTTATATTCCTCTCTGAACTGGTTATTCTAGTTAGAATTTTTTGTAACCTTTTATTAAGGTTCTTAGCTTTCTGGCATTGGATTAGAACATGCTCCTTTAGCTCATAGGAGTTTTTTATCACCCACCTTCTGAAGCCTACCTCTGTCAATTCGTCAATTTCATTCTCCATCCAGATTTGTGTCCTCACTGAAGAGGTATTGTGATCATTTTGAGGAGAAGAAGTGTTCTGGCTTTTGTAATTTTCACTGTTTTTTTTTTTTCTAACTTTTGTGGATTTATTTACCTTTGATCTTTGAGGTTGTTGACCTTTGGATGGGGTTTTTGTGGGCGGGCCTTTTTTTGTAGATGTTGTTGTCATTGTTTTTTAGTTTTTCTTCTAACAGTTTTTTTTTTTTTTTTTTTAACAGGTCAGCTAAAGTTTGCTGAAGATCCACTGCAGACCCTGTTGGCCTGGGTATCACCAGTGGAGGCTGCTGAACAGCAAAGATTGCTGCCTGCTCCTTCCTCCAGAAGCTTTATCCTTCAGGGGCACTGGCCTAATGCCAGCCAGAACTCTCCTTTATGAGGTGTCTGGTGATCCCTGTTGGTAGGTCTCTCCTAGTCAGAGGGCATGAATGTCAGAGACCCAGTTGAGGAGGCTGTCTGTCTGTTAGCAGACACTCTGCTGGGAGAATCCCCCTTATCATGATAAGAGCCAGCAGGCAGCAAAGAGTAAGTCTGCTGAAGTTTCGCCCACAGTTGTCCCTCTCCCCAGGTGCTCCCAGGGAGATGAGAGTTTTATCTATAAGCCCCCTACTGGAGCTGCTGCATTTCTTGCAGAGATGCCCTGACCAGTGAGGAAGAAGCTAAAGAAGCAGTCTGCCCACAGCTGCTTTGCCGCACTGTGGTAAACTCTGCACAGTCCAAACCTCCAAGTTTGCTTAGCATCATCAGGAAAAAAAAACTTCCTACTAAAGCCACAGTAATGATGGTTGCCCTAACCCCAACCAGGCTTGATCATCCCAGGTTGTCTTTGGACTGCTGGGCTGGCAGTGAAAATTTCAAGCAAGTGGTTCTTAGCTTGCCGGTGGTTCTTGCTTAGTTTGCTTACAATTTCAAGCCAGTGGTTCTTAGTGGCTCCATGGGAGTGAGACCCTCTAAGTGAGACCACTTGGCTCCCGGCTTCAGCCCCCTTTTCAGGACAGTGAATGATTCTTTTGTCTTACTGGAGTTCCACGTGCTGCTGGAGTACAAAAAAAAAAAAACTCCTGCAGCTCAGTGCCTGCCCAGACAGCCACCCAGTTTTGTGCTTGAAACCCACTGATCTGTCGATTGCAAAAATCCATGGGAAAAGTGCAGTATCAAGGGTGGGTAGCACAGTTCCTAACTGCTTCCTTGGTTGGGAGAGAGAGGTCCCCCAGCTCTGTAAACTTCCCAGTGAAGCAACACCCCACCCTGCTTCTGCTCACTCTCTGTAAGTTGCATCCACTGCCCAACCAGTCCCATTGAGATGAACTGGGTATCTCAGTGGGAAATGCAGAAATCACCTGCCTTCTGCATTGGTCTCACTGGGAGCTGCAGAGGAAGCTTTTTCTATTTGGCCATTTGGTGCCTCCACACTTTCATTCTTAATAATGTTTATTTGTGCTTCCTCTCTTTCTTTACTTGCCTTTCTAGATTATTTTTATTGTTATTATGTTTTACCTTTTCAAAAACATAGTGCTTTATTTTTTGTTACCGCTATAGTACATAGTCTATTTATTAAATTTGGCAATTTGTTTATTTATTTATTTATTTTTCTGAGACAGAGTCTCACTGTGTCTCCCAGGCTGGAGTGCAATGGTGTGATCTCAGCTCGCTGCAACTTCTGTCTCCCAGGTTCAAGCAATTCTCTCTTCCTTAGCCTCCCAAGTAGCTGGGATTACAGGCACCCACCACCGCACCTGGCTAGTTTTTGTATTTTTTAGTACAGAGTTTCTCTATGTTGGCCAGGCTGGTCTTGAACTCCTGGCCTCACGTGACCCACCCACCTTGGGTGCTGGGATTTCAGGTATGAGCCACCATGCCTGGCCTCTGCTTTTTATTTTTAAGATTTTATTTTATTATAAATCATTTCTGTAATATAGAAAAGACATTGGTGATTAAAGTCAAACTATACTCCAACATAACTTAATTTTAACTTAACTAATTTTATTTGCAAAGATCTTGTTTTCAAATAAGGTAATATGAAGTTTTGAATGAATAGGAATATTTTGAGAAACAGGACTCAACACAGTACAGGGTGTTTTATCTCATTAATTAGGTTAAACCAATGAACCTGGATTAGTCTCTTCACTCTGTATACACATGTTATTTTCTCTTTGGAAACAGATATCCCAGAAACCGTTGCCCATTTATAGACTTAGAGCCTGTGCATTCAGCTTGTGAATTAAGCTCTGTTTACTCCTTTATGTTTCTGTTTAATTTCTGGAAAACTAGATATCAAGGACAATGTTTATATTGTCTTTGAACTTAGATATGTCCCTGTGGAATTTTAAAAACATATTGTACCAATTATTCTTATTTGAGATAAAAAAATCAATATGTAAATAACTGAATTATTTATCAGGTTGTTCTACTTTATTTGTACTTACTTTCTGCTCTTTATCTAATTATGAGTTCATTAATTAGACTAGCCAATGAAGTATTATTATCTCCATTTTAAAGGAAACTGAGCTCCTCCTTTTCCTTCAAATAAACATTATTTAAGAATTCCAATGCCCAGGTCATACATACGTACTCATTAAATCAGACTTTCTGGGAATACTAAGAACTTTTCAAAGTCACTCATTTAAAAAAATTTCCTAGTTGATTCTAATTCACAGCTAACTTTAAGAATGAGTGCTATTGAATACTAAATACTTACACAATGGTAGCTTAGTTTCCCATAGAAAAACCTGGATATTATGCTCTGAGCTTTTATTGAGGATCTCTTTTGGGGGGGAAGGGAGACAAAGTCTCTCTCTGTCACCCAGGCTGGAGTGCAGTGTTGAGATCTCCACTCACTGCAACCTCCACCTCCCAGGTTCAAGCAATTATCTGCCTCAGCCTCCCAAGTAGATGGGATTACTGGTGCCCGCTACCACCCAAGCTAATTTTTGTATTTTTAGTAGAGAAGAGGTTTCACCATCTTGGCCAAGCTGGTCTCAAACTTCTGAACTTGTGATCTGCCTGCCTTGGCCTCTCAAAGTTTTGCGATTACAGGCATGAGCCACCACGCCGGACCAAGATTCTATTTTATTTTATTTTATTTTATTTATTTATTTTTTGAGACGGAGTTTCACTC